CTCCTTCCAGACTTAAAAAGAGGGGTCTCTCTGGGTGTGAAACTTCATTCACCGAAGGTCATTGTCTCTGTCAGGCCGGTCCTGGATCAGCCAGAGGAGGTCAAATCGGGATAGCAGGGCAGCAGGAAGCTGTATGTTCTGCTCCAGGCTTCGGCGGGGATTATAGCGCCCATAGGCAGGGTTGGCGGCAGCCAGGATAGAGCAGCGGGCATTGAGTGTGGTAAGAATGCCCGCCTTGGCAATGGAGATGGTCTGCTGCTCCATGACCTCATGGATGGCTGTGCGATCAGCCTCAGCCATCTTGTCAAATTCATCAATGCAGCACACGCCCTGGTCAGCCAGCACAAGGGCTCCACCCTCCAAGGTGAATTCTCCGCTCACACTGTCTCTCAGCACAGCTGCTGTTAGCCCCACTCCAGAGGAGCCCCGGCCTGTTGTGTACTGGCCTGGAAAAAAAAGCAGCAAACATGTTTTAGACAAAGGACAAGGAAGGGAGCAAGCATAGGGCAAGGACACGGGATGGGCCAGTGAGGCAAGGCCTGCACTGGAATTGCTCCCCCAGCTGAGGCCTTCTTGAGGTGGCTAAAGAACTATGCAATGCTGTGGGGTTACATTCCTTTTCCTTCCATCAACCCTCACCGGAGACCTGTTCTCCCAGCCAAACTCCACCTTTTGAATGGGATTTCACTCTATCCCTACTCACTACGGGGTGCCAGACGATCAATGTAAGATAAGAGCTGAGACTTGGCCACACCAGGATCCCCCATCAGGCAGATGTTGATGTTACCTGGAAGAAAAGAAAGAAGCCAAATGACCATTCTCCTAAGCATGCTGTCCAACAAAGACCACTTCTCAGGTCTGCATCCTTTCCTGTTATTCCTTCTAAGCTTCCCTGTACCCATAAGGCCAAGACACCAACTCTTATTTTGTGATATTAAGAGACAATGAACTTTACCACCCTTTTTTTCCTCCCACATAATTTTATCCACCTGAGCTGATGCGTCCTCTTCCTGCTTACCCCTGATTTTCATGCCTCGAGGAGACTGGTCAACGCCACCAACAAGAAGCAACAACAGTGCTTTCTTCACATCCTCGTGCCCGTATATCTCTGGGGCAATTGAAGCAGCCAACTTTTCATAGAAATCCTCCTCTGCAAGGAAATTAGAATATATTCTGGGGCTAGAAAGACACTCAAATCCCCACTCCTTTCCCTGACCCCTTACCTGCAATCTGCTTTAGCTCCTCCCTGCTCAGCTCTCCGGCCCCAGCCTCATCATCCTCACTCTTATTCATCTTCACAATTCGATGGGCTTCCAAGTAAGTTTCTGAGAGTAAACCCTTGGACAGGAAAATGCTAGGATGTGAATGAAATCTGTTTTAACTTGCCCCCACCCAATTCCCTAAATTTCTTGACAAAACCCTCTGGGGGGTGGGGGAGGGGATAAAAAAAAATGGGTGAAGAGGAAAAGGACTGTTTTCTCTTCATTTGAAACTTCTCTTCTCACCTGCACCACCTGTCGGAACCCCGAGCGCAAGACTGGTAAGAAAATACCAGTGACACTGACGTGATCTCCAGGCTGGGCAATCCTTGTATTCTCTCCTTCCACTAGCACTGTGATGCCACGAGGAATGTTTCCCACAGGTACTTGGTCACTCTAGAGAAGTGGAAGAGTACATGAAATAAAAGGGGAAAAAAATTTACAAAGAAAATCCACAGCAACCTGACTTTCCCTAGGCACTCTAAGGCTTTTCTCAGCCTGCCCACCTTTAACTACACTACAAAAGGGAAGAATCCTTTACCTTTCCAACTCAATCAGAAAATTCCAGGTAAACCTCCCTCCTGCTCTAGGTGATCTCTGTCTTATCTCTTTTTTTTGGCTTTTCTTTCTTCCTGCCTTTCAGGAATTGACTGTAGGATACAAGTGGACCCTGTGTTCCACCTATTTTGAGCCACATACCCCAAACTCACATGTTCTTGCATCTTCATCTCCTGGAATTTGATAAATTTGGAGCCACGGGTCTGCAGATACAGCCGCCCTCCTGAGCGGTTGGTCTGGCACTCCTGGCTTGGGCACATGATCAAAGGCATGAAAGTTGGGGACTGGATCTAGGACATAAGAAAGCACCAATGGAAATCAGAAGAACCACTTATCATCACTTGAATCATTTCTTCCCTACAGAAAGCATTCTAGAAGTATCAAGTACTCCTTAAAGCTACTCTTGGTCAATAATGACAACCACCAAAAAAGGAAAACAAGAAGAAAACTATATACTAAAAAAAATAGAGTAAATGCATTAGCATCTTTCAACAATAACCAGAGAACAACAGATCAATACCAACCAACAAAAACACCATTCAGAAAAACAAGGAATGTTAAATGCTTTCCTAGTCCATGTTGCAGACATACCGGCTGATAGGTCTCTGCCCCACACTGATCACAAGTGTAAGTGGCGACCACCATCCTGGGTTTGACTTCAGAAACACGAGTGACAATTCCACGTACAGTTACCAATTTCCCCACAGAGTCGGCCCGTACTTCTCGGATCACACGAGGTTTATTGCTGCTTGGACCTTGAAAATACAGCTCACTAAGGAAGGAAAAATCATCATCAGCAAGGTCCTAAGGAACAAGTCCCTGACCTTTCCCCACAGAGATACTCACAATCTACGCATGAGCTCAGGAGGGTATTGGTTCTGGGGGTTTCGGATAGCCCCAGGATCCCGGCTCCGCTGCTCCATCATCAGTCTGTGCTCAATGTAAACATCCAAGACATCCTTATTTACCACCTAGGAGAGAAGGAAGACAGCAAATATGAGCAGCAGGATAGGGAGAGAACACAGAGGGCCCCAGGCAGAGCTAATACTTCTCCTTTCTAACACTTCAAAACCATCAGGATCCTCTCACCAGAGGCTTCAATTTCTTGGTCTTCTGTTCCTCCAGGCACTCACCTCCCTTTCCTTGTACTGGGGTAGCAGCTCTTGTACAGCATCAGCAAATAGCCTCGCATAGCGCTTGGCATTCTCACAAATTGAGTCCACAAGCTCAGGGTCATCCTCAGCTACGTCATCCAGGTCCACATACATTGCCACTTGTTCCCGATGAGCCAGTTGAACCTGGTGTGGGAAAGGGATAGTAACACCTCAGGGCCAAGTTTATCTTGTTCTTATGCAAAAACCATTGCAGTGGGCCCAGGGCAGTCTCTGGGCCTCCACAAGCTAGAAAGCAGCACAACAACAATAGTCACTTCTCAGCCCCCAAATAACAATCTCCCAACTCCTGAAAACTTCCTAGTCATTATCAGTGTAGTATGATATTCAGTTATCAAATATCAGGTGCTTGACCAAATAGATCACTTACACACTTGCTAAAACAAGCCACAAAACCACTACAGCATCTTAAGCTCCACCCCTTCCCCACTCCCTTCTCCTAATTTTTGACTTACCAACTGGTTCCCATACTTGAACTGCTTCTTCCCAAATTCCTCATCCTGGTAAAACTCTTGTAGAAACTTCTTAACCTTTTCTACAACGTAAACGTGAAATCAAGACGAGCAATCTTTCTTCTAAATTCCTCACCCCAAATTCCTACCAGAAACCTAAGAAGCCCACTTTCATATTTAACAGGACCCACGAACTAATTAATTACGTGAACATTTAAGTAAGCCTATACAGTTCTTCCCAAAGAGAGCAGGACTCCTTTTCACATGCATGCTTTTACCTGGGGAAGAATATGGGGCCCGGGGCAGTTAAGAACTACAGCATTCTTCCCGAACGGCCTCCCACACCTTCACAACACCCTCGGGTATCAAAGTTCTCAGCTCTCCTTCCACCCACAAGACTCCCCTTTACCCTTGGCTTCCCTAGACCTCAGCTCTCGCCAGCACCTCCGCCACCAAAGTGGCCCTCCACCCCACCCCCGCTCCCGCCACTGCTTCCGCTCTTAGTAAACAAAGAAGCACATGGGCCCGGATTCCAGCCGCCTCACCGCTCGGGATTCCTCCGCCCGAAGCCGGAGCCCGTCCGGCGATTGGCCAGCACGCCAAGGGCCACTCAGTCCCACCCCACCGCCGCCTCTCGCGGTCTCGCGCTAAATCCCCGAGTCCAGGCACGCCCCCACCCTCGGCCGCTCGCTCCGAGGCCACCGCGCGGAAGAACACTGTTTACACACTACACTCCCTCCAACTGCATCGCGCAACTTCCGCCCGCCTCCACTTCCGCTTTGGAGGGCGGCAGAAAACAGCCAATCGCAGGTCGCAGCGGCCCCTGCCTGCCCGCCCCCGGGACTTCGGCGCGTCTCCGGAGGACGCGGGAACTAGCGAATGCCCCAAGGCGCCAAGGGAGGCGGGCCCTGGGTCCCCGTCCCTGAGCCGAGGACCCTTTGATGTGGTTCCCAGCGGCCCGGGTCTCTTCTGGGCGCGAGGGACCCTCCCCTCTGCCGCCTCCCATGCTGCTCTCGCCCCCCCACGACCCCAGCACCCGTCTTGGGCGGTACTACCCGCTCTTCTTCGATCCCGATGCTTCCCACGCGCCTCCCCGACACTGTTTGCCTCAATCCCGCTGCCACCTGGCTGTCTCCGGCCTCGCGCGCCCCAAGGTCCGAAGACCCTGGTCCCCAAAGATTCCAGCACACGCCAACAGGTGTTTGCCGAGTCGTCCCACGCAGGATCCCTTCCCAGAGTTGCAGCACACTACCTTTTTCGAGAGCGTAGTCCTTAAGTGCCATTGCTGCTAGGGGCCGTGCGGCAGCAGTTGGCAGGTTCAGGAGTTTCACTCCTGGGAGCAAAGAACGGCGGTGAGGCGGAGTGTGGCAGACCAACCGAAATTGGCGCGAAACGTCTCTCACCACGTGACCGGCGCCGCCGCGGGCGGGCCAATCGAAGTGTAGGGTCCTCCAGTACTCCCGTCCGTCGCAGGCCACCACCTCAGCCAATCACCAGGCGACCCTGGTCTGAGTGACGGGGAGGTAGTGGGCGGTTGTGGGGAATCTTCCAGCCGCGCGGGACTGGCGCCGGGTTTCCCGCGGCCCGAGCTGGTGAGGGAGGAGGGGAGTCCTTCTTAAAGGGCCAGCCCATGCGCGTTCTTTTGTTCCGGGGCGGCAGGGTGGGGCAGGCCCAACTTTCTTCGTCTTCTGGTTTTCTTTCTCGAACGGCCATGATTTCCCAGTTCTTCATCCTGTCTTCCAAGGGGGACCCTCTCATCTACAAAGACTGTATCCTTGACCCGCTGGGCGGGATGGAACGGCTGGGTGGAAGTCTAGCCCAGAGCCAGTCTGTGGCCCACTCCTTAACTATCCTTCTACCCGGCCAGTCCGCGGGGACAGTGGTGGCCGAGATGTGGCTGAGCTCTTCTACCGGAAGCTGACGGGACTGCCTGGAGACGAGTCCCCGGTTGTCATGGTAACCACTGGCGGCGCTTGGGCCGGGGGCTGGGGAACGGGGTGGGCGCTGCCTCCCTCGCTTTCAGGGGCTGTTTCCCTGGAGGCTTCCGCTCGGGGGTTACTTTCCTCCAAATACAACTCACGAAAGTTTATTGAGCGCCAACAACATACCAGGCGCAGCGGTGTTTGCGTGTCTCAGTCTTTGACCAGGCTGGGGTAGCACCTGTCATTAACCCCGTATCTATTAGGAAGCAGGCCTTAGGAAGGGTTCAGGGACCCCCCCACCCCCAAGGCACACTGTTACTGTGACTGGAAGGGACATCCGGGTTCGAGCTCTGATCTCGTGGGTCCTCCTTCACTACAACCCTCTTTTTTCCCTCCCGCCTCTTCTTCAGCACCACGATGACCGACATTTCATTCACATCAGACACAGCAGCCTCTATTTGGTGGCCACCACTTCTGAAAACATTTCTCCCTTCAGCCTTCTAGAGCTGCTGTCCCGGTGAGGAGGGCTAGGCCAGGCACCTGGGGGTGGGGGCCTGCAAGGAGGAAGATTTATTTATGAACAGTCTGCCCTGATTCCTCAGGTTAGCCACTCTCTTGGGGGACTACTGTGGCTCCCTCAGCGAGGGGACCATCTCTCGCAATGTGGCTCTTGTCTATGAACTCCTGGATGAAGTGTTGGTAAGGCCCAAGGACTTTCCTTTTATCCCCCATTTCCCTGAACGTGTTTCTCTTTTTTACTGTGGGATCCTGTGGTTAGGAAGCTAAACCCACTCTCTTTTTTTTTCTTTTCACTCCCTCCCTCTATTGACTAGCCCCAAATCTCCTTCTGTCCTCTTTCACCACTAGGACTATGGTTATGTTCAGACAACGTCCACAGAGATGCTGAGGAACTTCATCCAGACAGAAGCCGTGGTCAGCAAGCCCTTCAGTCTGTTTGACCTCAGCAGCGTTGGCTTGGTCAGTAGCTGGGAAAGAGGAGGATCAGGAAGGAGGGGGATTGGCTGGGAACACCAAAGCTGAAGATTAGTTGCTTTGGGTGTTTTACAGTTTGGGGCTGAGACACAACAGAGCAAAGTGGCCCCTAGCAGTGCAGCCAGTCGCCCTGTCTTGTCCAGTCGCTCTGATCAGGTAAGGTAAAGACGGATGGATACGGTCATACTTTTATTTTTCCTCCCCTGTGGCACCAGAATCCCAAGATCCTGCTATATTTTTCCATTTCCCTAGACATGGATATTATTTCTTCACCTACAAGTCCTACCCCAGGGCCTACCTTTTCTTTTTATCTATTATTTTGGAAACAGGCCTTTAGCCTGTACCATTAAACCCCCTTTCTTCCTCAGAGCCAGAAGAATGAAGTTTTTTTAGATGTGGTCGAGAGATTGTCTGTACTGATAGCATCTAATGTAAGTTTGGGCTCCCAATCCTGGAGTGGAGAACAAATGGTACTTGGGAAACAGGTTTGGGAGGTCAGGACTCTGGTTGTTAACCTCCCCGCCACTCTCAGGGCTCACTGTTGAAGGTGGATGTGCAGGGAGAGATCCGGTTGAAGAGCTTCCTTCCCAGCGGCTCTGGTGAGGGCCCAGGATTGGGTTTCACATGGGCTTCTTGAGGGCATGTTTGGCAGTGTTTGATCTTTCCTGATGTTCTTTCCTTCAACAGAGATGCGCATTGGCTTGACAGAAGAATTTTGTGTGGGGAAGTCAGAACTCAGAGGTGAGGAGAATAGGGGTCTTTTTTCTAGAGGAGGTAGGTCACTGCCAAAGGTTTCATGGAGGAAAGTTTGAGAAGGAGCTCCTTCTCTCCTACCTCCTCTTCTCTCTCTAAGCATGGGTCAGAAGGATTTTTTTCTTTTTCCAGGGTACGGGCCAGGAATTCGGGTTGATGAGGTTTCATTTCACAGCTCAGTAAACCTGGATGAGTTTGAGTCTCATCGGATCCTTCGTTTGCAGCCACCCCAGGGTGAGGTGAGGATCAGGGTAACCTATTGTGCTCCTTGAACAAAGGGGAGGGAAGGAGTGCCAGCCTAAGACCATGCTGACCTCATTCCTCTCTGGTCTCAGCTGACTGTGATGAGGTACCAACTCTCCGATGACCTCCCCTCCCTGCTTCCCTTTCGGCTTTTTCCCTCTGTGCAGTGGGACCGAGGCTCAGGCCGGTGAGACCATTTCCTGTGTTCTACAACTACTCTGGAAGCCAAGCCAAGACATATATGTTTCCAAAACTTACTGTGGATGGGTGGTGGCAGAGGTGACAGCACACAAATTGGAAAAAGGCTTGACTAGTGATACTGGGTTGGATCTTGCTTCTCCTTCTTGGGGTACAACCTTACATGAAGCCCTGCATAAGCAATAGTGATGTGCCAGTAGGATATGGGGTATGTGATAGCATTTCCCTCTTTCATCCAGGCTCCAGGTTTACCTGAAGTTACGGTGTGATCTGCCCCCAAAGAGGTAAGAGTAGGGCTGATTAGGCTTGGTTCAGCTCTCTCGACATGAGATAAGGCCAAGAGTCTGCTGCTTCCTTCAGGTGTATCCATCAGGCTCAGAATCCAGTGTAGAGGCTATAGTATATGGGAAGGGGCCAGGATAGAGATGAACTCCCATTGTGACATTCAAGGAACAGGGACAAGGCACTCTGCCTTCCTGGGGCTGATCCAACATTTTTCTTTTTTGCAGCCAAGCTCTTAATGTCCGACTGCACCTTCCTCTGCCACGAGGGGTGGTCAGGTTAGTGTCTGCTCCCTAGGGAACTTTCCTGGGGTGAAGAGTGGCACTGTGTTAAGGAGGGCATGGCTGAACCCATCACCTTCCACCTCCATACTGCAGCCTGTCTCAGGAGCTGAGCAGTCCAGAGCAGAAGGCAGAGCTGGGGGAAGGAGCCCTTCGCTGGGACCTGCCCCGGGTACAGGGAGGCTCTCAACTCTCAGGCCTTTTCGAGGTATCTGCTGTTGACCCTCTTGCACTCTTTTTCCACCAGCACAGGTAGCTGCCTGGTCTCATGGCTTCCCTGCCCTTTTCCCTCACAGATGGACGTTCCAGGCCTGCCAGGGCCTCCCAGCCACGGGCCCTCCACCTCAGCTCCTCCGCTGGGGTTGGGCCCCGCAAGCCTCTCCTTTGAACTCCCCCGGCATACATGCTCTGGCCTCCAGGTTCGCTTCCTCAGGCTGTCCTTCAGGCCCTGCAGCAATGCCAACCCCCACAAGTGGGTACGCCACCTAAGCCACAGTGATGCCTATGTCATTCGGATCTGAGGCTCCCCAAGTACAGACACAGGCGGCAAAGGCAACAAGCGGTCAAGAAGAGGACGATATTTTCTTTCTTGGCATCTTGGCCTATAGCCCTAAATTTGAGCAGGAAGAGTCTTAAGGCCAGGAGGCCTCCATGGATTCACCCTTCCATGGTATCTGGCAAAAGAAGGCTCAGGACTTACAAATCAAACTTTTATTCTGAGGAACTGACTGTAAAGTATCTAAAAAGAAAGTCATGTGGGAGAAGCAGCCTACTACTTCTTCCAGCCGGCGTGCGTGTGTGCATGTGTAGGAATCCGTGGAGGAGGCAGCCAACAGATGGATGACATTGTCAGGGAACAGGCTGAGGGGAGCCTGACCCAGGGGGTTGAGAGCCATTAGCCTTTGGAGTCCCTGGAGCTGGAGGGGGGCTGTCCCCAGCCTCCTGTTTCCCTCCACAGAGGGCACTGCCCCCAAGTGGTGAGGGGGAAGATGATGAGGGAGGAACTGGAGAGGCATGGGATGGGGGGCCTCCCTTACCCTCCCCTGCTGGGGGGAGCGAGACGACAATGTACTTCTGGACACTGCCAGGGCCAGTGGGGGTGGTACTGGGTGGGGCAGTGGTGGCAGTGGAGACCAGCTTGACAATGGGCTGCACACTGGGGACTGTGGTGGTGACTGGAGAGGTAGTGGTGGAGCCTGAGCCAGGGGCTGAGGTGCTGAGGGACAGGACCTGGGGGAGAAAAGAATGCAGTGCCAATCACCTTGCACCTTCCCACTTCCCCAAAGGCCTAAGGGGGATAGGGCACGAGCTTCCCTGTGAACAGTGTCCATCCTCAAGAAACTTTAGACTACTGCCAGCTTGAGGCCTTCAAGACCCTGGCAAGTAGTACTTCCATGGGCACAGAAGGGACTGAGCTCTACTCTGGGGCCTCCCCAAGGGGCTCTGAAGGGACATATCCCTGTCCCAGTCTCCACATACCTGCTGGGTGGATGAGGCACTGGAGGAAGAAGACATTACGATAAACTTGGTTGGAGGAGGAGAAGGCTGAGGTGGGGCAGCAGCTCGAGCAGACACCAGTGTCTGGACGGGCAGTGCAATGGAGCCAGGGACCTTCAGTAAGCCTGGGGTCCGAGGGCCAGGCTGAGGGGCCTGTGAGAGGGTCAGCGTGGGCCGGGGCTGCAAGACGGAGAGGCAAGAAGAAAATGTCAACACCCAAGTAAAAGAATGGCCTAAGGAAGACTTGTATTGCTCCTGATCTTTCTCAGTAGTTCTCACGGGTTGGGGCATCCTTCACTAGGGGGCCCAGACTCCCCAAGACTTTTGTCGACTTGACCTGCATGTGCATGTGTCTGTGAATCCCATCCCCAGATCCTTCTTAATTTCCTCTCACCCTCCTCCCCTTAGCAACTGACCTGTGTGATGGTCAGTGTGGTCCTGTTGACCTGCTGTGCCTGCAGAGCAGCTTGAGCCCGGGCCTTGACCACATGGGAGCAGAGAAGGGGCCCAAGGGACCCAAATTCTGCCCGATAGGCATCCTGATTGTCAGGTGGGGGGTGCAGCTTAGCCAGTACAGGGGCACAGTGTTTCTACAAAGAGAAGGCAAAAGAGGGAAGGCTAGTAATCTCAGAAGAGCAAGGGGGAAGGGGTGAGAATCACCCATACATTTCAGGGTGCCCCTATTGGAGACAAAACTAAGGAATTCCATCTGTAAGGAATACTGTGGTTCTCCCTCATAAGGAAACAGCACCAACTAGTGTGAATGAAGGACTTGCTATATTTGCTTTGTATATATGACATCTAAGGGGTACTTGACCGATAGGTGTGCATTTGCCTTGTAGATGGGCCCTACAGTGATATAGAAAGAAGCTTGGAGGTGGGGGTATCATTACAAATCAGGAAAAGCCACAGGATATGTTAAGAGCCCCTAAATCTTAGCCTATCTGCGCCTTTCTGTCTCCAAAACAGCATTCGAGTCTGAAGAGTGTTCTGTTAACAAATATGATGGCAAAGATGGGATTAAGCAAATGTACCCAAAACAGCATTCGAGTCTGAAGAGTGTTCTGTTAACAAATATGATGGCAAATATGGGATTAAGCAAATGTACTGGATGCTTCCTTGCTAAGCCACCATCTCTGTGGGGAAAGGGGGAATTAGTGGGAAGAAGTCAGGGAGGGCAGTCTGTTCACCAGGAGAAGGCTCTGCACGTGGTCAGCTCCTATGCGGTCAATGTTGCTCAGCACAGGGCCATCCAGGACGCTGCGGATTCGCTCCCCTTCCTGCTGCAGCCGTGGCAGAATCAGAGTCTTAATCACCTGTCAAAATGGAAAGGGAGAAGCCAGGGCCACAGGGTCACCAGAAGTCTCTCAGGTGTAGAGGGGTGGTGCCCTCTAAGACCTCAAGACTGCTTCCCTTCCCCTAGTTCTTCCCCTGGGGTGAGGGGCTAACATCGTGTCCCAGCTCTGCCAGGCCTGCAATGGAGCCATAACGAGTTGTCCAGGGAGTCTTCTCATCCACCCAGCTCTGTAGAGAAGGAAAATAAACCTAGATGAAGGAGTATGAAAAGACTGCTAAGGATTCAGGTCTTCCATAAACACTTTCCTTACAAATCATTTAAGATGTTGCACATGAGGTTCAAGTTCCTCAGACCAAACCCCCACGAGTTCCTGTCCCCCTGCCCCTTGTCCCAGGTGTTATTTTCCCCTGCCAAAACTGCCACATTGGTTTGGCTGAAGCTCTCATTGTACTGGTGACAACCCTGGGGTGGTGATATGAAATAGTTGACATGTTCTTGAGGCTTACCTTGGTGAAGGTCTTGGTGATCCGGGACTGAATGTTGTTAGTAGTTGTGCTGAAATGCTTGCATATCTGGGCCACCAGGCGGGCAGCAAAGTCCCGTAGTGCCCAGTGATTGTCCACATCAGGTCGCAGGCACAGCTGTCTGCTCACGATACAGGTCATCACAGCTGGAATAAGCTCATGCACCTAAGGAAGAAGTGGCAGGTCAGCTGGTTCTGACAAGTGGTTTCCATGGGTGGTAACAAGAGTCCCCTAACCCCAGGAAGAGGAGGGTGGGCAAGGGGACAACTCACATATTTTTCTAGATAGAGTGTAGGGTTGTCCATCAGCGCCTTCACCATGCGCATTAGGTAGATGAGCAGGGCAAGGTTATTCTGAACCACATTCACACGGACCTATGAGAGGGAGGGATGTGGGGCAGAGAGACCCCTCAGGTGAGCTTCCCCTGCTATCCCTGCCCCCCAAGCCTCATCCTTGGCCTGGCCTTCCCAGTCCTCTCACCCCCTCAGAGATGAAGGTACTGAACCGTGGCAGCATCTGATAGAGCCCTGGGTCCGTGGCAATGCTCTGCAGAGCTTCCTGTGGGAGGAGGGAAGCAAATGGGGTGGCGGCAGATCTCTTGGGGAGGAATCTGCAAGGGCTCCAAGAGGAGTCTTAGGTTGAGGGCAGGTGGATGGGGCCCTCACCGCTCTCTTAGCCTCACACGACCCCACGCAGGCTTCAGTGATCTCCTTATAGTACAGCTGCTGCTCCACAGACAGCTCATGGATGCTGCGGGGCTTCAAGCGCAAAGGGGCCCCCTCTAGCAAGGGAGGTGCCTTCTTCTCTTTCCCTGTGTGAATTGGGAAAACAGGTTTGGGGAAAAAAGAGGACTCAGTACCCTCTACATACTACCCCAGGATACCTGGCTTCCTCTAGGCTTCTTGGTCCTTCCTGGGACTTTCTGGCCCTAACTTCATCCACTTCACATGTGGCTTTGGGATAAGAGCCAGGAGAGGCCTGACCTAGAATACTGACCTTTGCCATCAGCTGGGGCAGCCCCTTGGCCTTTGCCCTTCAGGGGTCCATCTTCCTCCTGGCCTGGCTTTGCTGACTTCAGGGGTTCTGTGGCCTCAGCCTTCTGCTGCTCTTTGGGAGCTGATGGGAAAGCAATCACAGCAGGAATGATGGTGGAGTGGAGTGGTTTGAAAGGAGGCAGCAGAGAGAGAGGGATGGGCTCTGGGTGTGGAGGTTACCTGGGGGTGGATTCTCTGGTATAGCTGGCTGGCAGCCTTCAATGCTCAGCCAATGAGCTGCGAGGAAAGAAGGTGTCAAGTTGAATTGCTGGACATGGAAACTGGGAAGTCACTCCATGGCAGGTGTGTTTTCCTTCCTGCTATTCAGCAGGGCTCTCACACTGAGGGTTTCTTCACTTGTGAGTTTCCTCACACCATACATCTTCTCCTTCTCTCCCTCCTCCCTGCCACCCCACTCTCCCTTTCCCCAACCTTTCAGGCAGACATCCAGGGGCACTCGAGGCAGAGGGGTATTGATGATGTCACTCAGATCAACCTCTTTCTCCTCGTAGAAGTAAAGCTCCCGACCCCCACCAGAGGCAAAACGGAAAGGAATGAATTCCTGAGCATGGAAACCATAGAGTGGCTGTTTTGAGAGAGAGGGGGGGGGCATTGGTGTAAGAACAGTCCAGGAGAGGCTAGGCTGAAGACAAATGCAGCATCCAAGAAGATAGTGTCTCACCACCCATCCCAGTCCTCAGCCCCCTTCCTGTCTCTCACATGCACCTCAACGTTCTTTAGCTTCAGCGCATAGTCAATATCACTGGTGGTGAGCTTCTGCCGCTTCCCCATGTGCATGAACTTCAAGGCATCCTGAGGGACAGAAAAACAGATGTAAATCCAAGACCCTGAGGAAAAAGAAGGCCATGTCAAGGTAACAACCTTGACACAATGCAGAGCTGGGCAGATGGACCAGCTTACCTGTGCAATCTCCTTGATACGGTAGCTGACCTCATCCGTTAGTAGCTGGCAGGTCTCCTCCTGAATCTGGGCAATGCCCATTGATTCAGCCACAACCTTCATTGACTCCGAGGGCAGCACGGTATTACTGAGCTTCAACTTCTTCTCCTCAGCCATGCTGGAGCACCTCCTTCCCTCACCAGAAGGATATGGCCCCAGGGTGGAGAGATGGATACTCTGGCAGGGGAATGGGGCAGATAGAAGAGATCAAAAGAAATATGATTCAAAATCCTTGTTAAAAGTGAATTTCTGATCTCCTGTGCCACCTGATCAAGCCTTAGCATTCCTCATCCTCCATCTGCCACCCATTCAGCAACTCATTCTTTATCTATGCCCTCATATCAAATCTGCCAGATAATCCAACCTGATTTCTCAACTCCCTCTCTGTGGCTCAAGACTATCTCCTGCAGAGCTCCAATATCCTCTGAATGAGATCTTCTGCCATCCACCTTAAGTTTTCCTACATCTATTCCTTATAAGAGTCAAAGTGATTCTGTTAAAATATAAATCAGGTTGTCAATTCTCTGCTGGAATGGTTCCCCATTACTCATAACATCCTTACATTGGCCTATAAGGCCCCTCATGATTTGTCTTCTTCCCATTACCTCTCTGATCCCCTCTCCTTCCTTTTTCTATTTTGATCCAGTCACATCAGCCTCCGTGACCTTGCCATTCAGCTTTTTCTCTGTTCTTTTCAGATGTTGTTTGCCTGTCTGCCCTTACCACTGCTATTTTAATTCGGCATTCTGCTTTACATTTTCTTTTCTATAAGATTTAACAACCCCTAATACATTGTATCGTTAGAGGATACAATGTTTATCGTCTCTATCCCATCATCCCCATGTGGACAGGAATCTTTGTGATGTTCACTGGTGTATCCCTGGTTCCCAGACAGGTGCCTGGGACACTGTAAATAATAAATACCTTTTGAATAAATGAATGAATTGTAAGGCCTTAGAGATACAGATGCTCAATAAATACTATCACAATTATTGAGACCAATAAAAAGACATAGGCTGAAGGTTGGAGTTTACACTGTGGTCAAAAGGCACCATTGGATCTGGGCATTAGGAAGAGTAACTTCAAACTGTGTTCAGAACTGGGGGGACAGGAGGATGAAGGCTGAGGGAGAATGTGTTTTTTTCAAATTATCCCAAGTCTCCTCTCCGATTTTTACAAGTCTTATCTATAGGGAACAAAATTATTCCACACATTATGCCTGATGCAGGGTATACAAGAAGCGGTCGTGTCCCAATTCCCTAGTGAACTCCTACTAATCCTTCAAAACCCTGCGGTACCCACTGTCAGTAAGGGCTCATAAAACACGCTGTAATCTCGGGAGCGTCTCAGATCAGGGGAGACGGCAGGAGGACTTCTCAGAGGAGAATTAACTTGAGCTATATTTGTGCAGTCGTTTCCCCAGCAGAGAACCAGGCAGCACGAAAGGAGGCTCAGAGAAACCACCCATCTCCCCCAACATTCCTCCAATGCATACACACACGGAGTATCCACGAGAGCACCGACACACCACCAATCGTCCTCTTCCTAGTCCCCACACGGGCCTTTCATGGGGTCTCCTCCCGGATACCCCTCAGACCCGCCCCCGCCAACCAGATGCAGAGGGCAGTAAAAGCCTCTCACCGCTGCCAAAGCGCCGCTCACCCGGCGCTCGGCGCCATCTTGGCCCCGCCCCCTCCCAGCACTAGGTCCTGGCAGAAACCGAAAGTCACCATCACTTCCCCAAGCCATAAGAAACCATTCAAGCTCACAACTGAAATGACATTTAAAAATTGTTACTACGTGTATATGCGAGAAGCACACTCTCCTAGTCTGTTACTTGAATTTATTTTTTCACTACCCGGCAGCCAGGACCTTCAGGAGGCGCCACAAAACAGGCGGGGAAACCCAGCGCCCTGAGGCCCCACCCCTTTACGGGTTGGACCTACGCATGCGCTGATGGTTCCAGGCAGGGAGGCAGGGTTTAAGGCTGCTGCTTACCGCCTCTGAATTTAAAGGGTCCGCCGCCTTCCCGAAGTTGGTTTGAAGGCAAACGGTGGTTGTGCACCGCGCATTGTCATGGGACCTGTGCGGTTAGGAATATTGCTTTTCTTTTTGACAGTGACTGGTGCTTGGGCTGGGACGCCGAAAGAAGAGGACGATGACACAGAACGTTTGCCCAGCAAATGCGAAGGTATCTTGGGAGTAGCCTCTACTAGCATCTCCCTGTCCCTCCTTCTTCGTTTAGGCCGGGGCACACGTACCGTGATGGATGGGTCACTCGACCTCCTTGAACCCCCGAGTGAGGTTCTGTTGGAATTTGGCGGAGTTGGAATAGGATCCGGGGAGGGAACGCCTACGTCCAACGCGAAATTGTGGCACTACATTTTCCATTTAACTTCCAGAGTAAACCCACTTTTTCTTGCAGTTGTGGGCCCCAGTGAGTTGTGGAAATTGTAGTTCAGGGATTGTCTGCCTAGGACCGCCCACTCAACCGATCATCTTCAATGTGCGTGTGTTCCCCCCAGATCACCCACCAGACCTAAATCTGGAGAGCCTTCAGGGGCGGGGTGTGATTCTTATACTTTGTGAACTTCCTCTGTCCCCGCGGCAGAGACGCTTCCAAATTACAGGTCCCATCCTCCCCCAGAGGGTTTGAGGATGAGTAACTCGGCCTTTAAAGCTCATAACAAAATATGAGGAGGCCAAACAACTCTAAGTTCCCAGTCAATGGGAAGCTTTGCAGCCAGCGTGTACTGTATAGATTTTGCAGCAAGCAGCATCTTCCCTGGCTGCATTAATGAGAGGGACACTTCAGAGCCTTGTCATTGAGTACCCTACTTCCCTGGTTTGTTGCCTCGTTGGCTTGTCCCCCCCCCCCATTCTTTTTCTCTTCACCTCATACACACAGTCTCTGCATTTCCACATCAGTGTCCCTCATGACTTGGTTCTAATCCTGTGCCTGTTTTTACTTACATCCCCACTCTTCTCCTGCCACCTGTCTTTCTAAACACAGACTTAATCTTGGAAGTTTTTGCTTTAACAACCCTGCAGGCCTCCTACTATGATCAGCATCCAGGCAGCATTTTTTTGGCAGAGCATGTAATTGTTGTATGATGTGACTTTCATAGTTCCTATACCCCATCCTCATCCCTAAAGTGCCCATGCTTCAGACACTGAATTTCCTCCCGCCCCAGCCCCCCATTTTTATTGATGCATTATAATTGTACATCATGGTGGAATTTGTAGTTACATATTCATACATGCACACAATGTAACAATATATTTGGCTAGTATTTCCACTTCAGACATTGAACTTCTCATGATCAGAGTATTGCACATCCTCTAACACCTCTGGGACTTTGCTCTTTTTCGTTGCCCAAAATGGCCCTCTTTCTGTATTTGATAAGTTCCTATTCATTCTTCAAGGTTCAGTTTAAATATCACCTCCTTTGGAAGCCTTCTTCCTCAGTTGTCACCTCCTGCAGTCATAAACCCTTGGAGAAAGGGGGAGTGCCTATGTATCTCAGGTTCTAGCACAGTGCTGGGTACGTTTAAAGAAATGTTATTTTTGCCTGTTTAGGTTACTTTCATCTATGTATGGGTTTTGTGTTTTATTTTGTTTTAGTTCTGGGTATTGAACTTAGGGCCCTCTACCTCTGAGCTATGCCCCCATCTCTCTCTCTCTCTCTCTCTCTCTCTCTCTCTCTCTCTCTCTCTCTCTCTCTCTTTTTCAAGAAAGTGTCTTGCTAAGTTGCGTAGGGCCTTGCCAAGTTGCTGAGGCTGGCCTCACACTTGTGATCCTTCTGCCTTAGCCTCCTGAGACATCAAGATCACAGGCATGCACAACCATGCCCAGCTGAGCCCCCTTTTTTTCTTTGGAACTATCATGAGCCAAGTATATGCTAGTAGTGTAATAGACATGTTGTTCACCCTTATGAGAATCAAAGATTTGTAAGAAGTCATTAAGTAACCTTTGAATGGATTTTGCATTTCCTAGTGAGATTAAATCTCTTGGTCTTAACCCTGGCGTAGGGTTCATCGCGCCATATTGTCATCATCCATTTATCCATCTCTAGCTACATTGACAGTGTCTCAGAGACAAAGATCATGAATCTTATTGATCTGTCATGAGCGTGTATACAGAAGGAGCACAATAAAGAACTGCAGAGTAACAATAAACACTGTGAGCCAGAGCTATTCCAGAGATTTTGCATAGGTTTATTTATTTAATTCTCACCTCACTCTTGTCATGGACATAGTATTATCCCCATTATAGAGGTGAAGAAACTGAGACACAGCAAGATTGTCACACAGATATTGAGAAGCTGAGTCAGAATTCCAACCCAGTCAGTTTGGCTCCAGAGTCTGCACTTGCGTCCTCTGTTGCCTTTGGTCATGTGCAGAATGAACTGGCATGTTCACTCTTCTTTTGTATCCCCTTGGACATCTCTCCTCACTACCAGTGTGTAAGCTACTAAGCATGGAGCTACAGGAGGAACTGAGTCGCACTGGCCGATCTCGAGAGGTCCTGGAGCTGGGGCAGGTCCTGGACACAGGCAAGAGGAAGAGACATGTGCCTTACAGCATTTCGTGAGTCCTTCTTGGTGCTCCTTCACCTTCCAGTCCACCAAAGAGCCTTGGAAGCCCCTGTAGCATCCAGGGAGTCTTTGTTTCCCTTCTCCCCACAGAGAGACAAGGCTGGAAGAGGCCTTGGAGAATTTATGTGAGCGGATCCTGGATTACAGTGTTCATGCTGAGCGCAAGGGATCGCTGAGATATGCCAAGGTGAGATTCTTAAATAGGGAAAGACTCTAATTCTCAGAAACAAAGACCTGTGTCCCCTGAGATCCTCAAGAATTATCTGCCCGTTTCCCTCCACCTCTAGAGAGTCCCCTCTTGTTCAGACTCTCTCACCCTCCTCATGGAACTCATCCCTGAGCCTCTTGTGTTGACAAAGCTATTATGGTGAAAAAGGGAAGGAAAAGGTGGGATGGTTGCTCTGATCCCAAATCTCCATCTTTCAGGGTCAGAGTCAGACCATGGCAACATTGAAAGGCCTAGTGCAGAAGGGAGTGAAGGTGGATCTGGGGATCCCATTGGAACTGTGGGATGAGCCCAGCGTGGAGGTTACATTCCTAAAGAAGCAGGTAAGACAAATTACCAAACTGTCCAGGGAGGTGAGAGGAGAGCTTGGTCCCAGGATTTGATTGTAGGGGATGTCCAGCTCTCAGCAGGAAGAAGGGGGCAGAATGAGGACTTTGCCATCAATTAAAGTGGGCCCAATAGAATATCAAATAATATTGGAAACTATTACTATCCGCCACTGCTTATTGAGCACCTACTATGTCCCAGATTCTGGACCACATACTTTCTAGCTGCTGCCTCATTTACTCTCACAACCTGATGTGGTAGGTATGATCACCTTACCCATCTCACAGCTTACCCAACCTACTTAGCAGAATAGGTGCTAGTTAAATATTGGTTGGATGAAGATAGATCATAAATAGATGTAAGCCAAGCTTAACCTCCTGGCTACCTGTCTCTCAATGGAGAGGCCAATCAGTGGAGTAGGGAGTAGGGAGTGGAGAGCTGAGAGGAAAGTGTCCAAAGCCCAGCAGAGCAGATGTTCTTTCCACCATTCCACTTGACCAGTGTGAGACGATGCTGGAAGAGTTTGAAGATGTTGTAGGAGACTGGTACTTCCACCATCAGGAGCAGCCCCTACAGCAGTTTCTCTGTGAAGGCCATGTGCTCCCAGCTGCTGAAACAGGTAAATGTAGGGATTGGGCTCCTCTCCTGCCAGGCAACAACCTCCTTATTCCCAGAACCAATATTTAAATTATTTTCTCTTAACCCCACCTAGCATGTCTTCAGGAAACTTGGACTGGAAAGGAGAAGATCACAGATGGACAAGAGAATGCAGAAGAAAAGGAGGAGGAGGAAGAAGAAGAGGAGGAGGAAGAGGAGGGAGAGAAGGAGGAGGAGAGAATCAAGACTTCAGGCCACCCCAAGCATGACCCAGAGGATCTCTGACTCTTGCCTTTGAGCCCCCAGGAGGGGTCATGGAGAAGAACCCTCTTAAGTCTCAGCTTTCCCTACCCCACAGCTTGAAGGGTGTGTGTTTGTGTATGAGTGATCCCACCCCAAGGCTTCTGTTTTTTCCCAAATGACCTCAGGGAGGATCTTGGGGATGCAGGATGACATGACCATGGGGGAAATGGGGGGAGCAGCAGGAGGAAGTCCTTCCAACATAATGAGCCTTCTGCCTGCCATCCAACCACTTAAATGGCAGGTGTGTGTGTGGTGACAGCATTGAGCTTTCCTCTTTAAAGACAGTCAGCGATGGCATGGAGTTATGGGCCTTGAGAAAGTCACTATGCCCCTCAAGAGATCTGTTTTTGGACCCTTATAAGAAAGAGGCCAGACAGACATTCTCTATGACCTCACCCAGGAGGCTACATACTAGCCGTGAACTAGACTATGACAGTAGGTGGCGGTGAGGCAATGATAAGTTAGGTGGGGGTAATTACCTGATCTATTCCGTAACTTCGCGGGTGCCAAATTTTCTATATCGCAATTAAACTTACTTATTTTATTATTTTTTTTACTATCGTCTGGGCCCAGTTTCAAACGACTCTGCACACATTGTAGCTTGTCAATGAGGCAGCGTCCAGACAATGGGGCCGTTGGCCTCCGCCATTAGCAGCTAATGGCGCTTGGTAATTCTGCACCCCAAGGAAGCTGGCAGGGGTCACAAGATAGAGAACTGTAGGGAGGCTGAAATCCGAGCAGCCTCTGCAGGTTGCGGGAAGCACTAAAACTAAAAGTTAACTGTGTGGTGTCGATACGGCCACCGTAGTTGGGCTACGGACGCCCGCAGAGGACAAAATACCACGCGATTTTCTGATTTCTGTGCTTCGTTCAGGAAGTTCTGTGCTAGGCTCTACGATTAGGTTCAAGGTAGAGAAAGGGTAGGGTTAGAGGGAAGGATAAAACGATGTCCTCTGAAAGGTGACAGTTGAGGACCTACCTGGAGACTATTGGGGCGGGGTCAGTACCACGGTCGGCCGGAAGTGGAGGGCGATGCCACCTTAAGAGGGGGGGGGGAGGGGGGAGGGGGGGGAATAGGAAGGGCAGCAGAATGCAACAGACACTTGTTTGGCAGTAGGTATGAACGTGGCTGTATAATCAACGTGATTCTGCAATCTGTACACGGGGGAATAATAAGAAAAAAAAAGAGGGGGAGGGGTGTCAAAGAGCCAAGGTGCCGCTTGGCTAGTGGCAGAGCTGAGAACCTGGAGGCGTTCGCCCACAGCCACATTTCATTTCTCGCCAGCCCGTGGTTCCCCTGCCATGAGCAACCTAGTGCGGACCGAGCAGCTGCGCGGGGCGCCTCCTCTGCTGGTGCCTGGCGACCTGTACTCCGTGGTGGTTCTGCTGCGAGGCTACGCGGAGCCAGAGGAGGTGGGCGATGCCGTGCGCGCGGACGGCTCCGTGACCCTCGTGCTGCCTCAGGCCTGGGGCCGGGGCTCTAGTCACCAAGAGTCCTCGCCCGAGGCCGGCAGCGCGGAGACCGCCCTGGAAGAGGCGGCCCGTGGCCCCATCCTCGTGGATACTGGGGGCCCCTGGGCTCGGGAGGAGCTGCTGGGCGCCCTGGCGGGGCAAGGGGTGGGCCCCGGAGACGTGACTTTGGTGGTGGGGACCCACGGGCACTCGGATCATATCGGAAATCTGGGGCTGTTTCCGGGGGCTGCTCTGCTGGTCTCGCACGACTTCTGCCTGCCAGGGGGCCGCTACCTGCCCCACGGACTGACTGAGGGGCGGCCCCTGCGCCTAGGACCTGGGCTCGAGGTGTGGGCCACGCCGGGCCACGGAGGCCAGCGGGACGTGAGCGTAGTGGTGAAGGGCACGGCCCTGGGCACCGTTGTGGTGGCTGGAGATGTGTTTGAGCGTGACGGGGATGAGGACTCGTGGCAGGCGCTGAGTGAAGACCCAGTGGCTCAGGAGCGGAGTCGGAAGAGGGTCCTGGGCACCGCCGACGTGGTGGTGCCTGGTCACGGAGCCCCCTTTCTAGTGGTCAGGGAAGCCTCTCAACCAGAAAGAAAGAGTTGTGGAAACAGCAGCCAGGAACCGGAGGGCGGAGAGGACGAGTCTACACTTCATGGATGAGACCCAGAGACCTGATCAGCCAGAATCGGAGCAGGCAAGGCCAGTCACTTCCAGTCTTCCAGGAGACCGATTTTCCATTCAGGGCACTGGAATATCACTGTGGATATCACTCTCTGCCTATCTCTGCAGCCAAACTACATGTGTGAATCCTCGGCAGGCCTCTGGAAAATGCAAGAATGTTCTTGTGAGGGTCCTCCAAAGTGAAAGTAGAAGCTCCCTGAATGTAAAAAGAAACATTAATAATGATAACCATACAACAAGGGATCACTTTGACCAATTGCCTGTTTCTCCTAGGGTACAGTTTGCTGAGAAAAGGTGCAGGACATAGAGAAGCTCGCCTTAGTCACCTGACTTTAACTCATTAACTGATTTATTCATTCAAGGGATGTTTATTGAATATTGCATCATCAAACACTGCTGTAAATCACAGGATACAACAGTGAGCAACCTAGACACCCTCTGTCCTTCATGGAAACCACATTTTATTGAGGTGACAACCACAATAGTAGTAGCAACCAAATAATTATAGGTTGTAGTTAGTGATATAGAAAAAATGAGGAAGGGTTAGCAGAGAGAAGAGAGGGTGCTACTTAAGTTTGGGTGGTCAGGAAAAACCTATGAGATTTTGATCAGAGAATTGAATGACAAGAAAGCCGCCCATATGAAGATCTGGGGGAAGGCGATTCCAAGCACAGGAACAGCAGGTATAAGCCCCTGAGGCAGGACAGCTTAACCTGCTTGAGCGTCATTAAGTCCCTGGGGTCAGACTGTGAAGGGCCAGGGATGGATAATGCAGAGTTAGGTACAGCCATCTTGCAGGGCCTTGGTGATCATTGTAAAGGGCTTAGTATACTAAGTAAAATGGAGATCCTTGGCTTTTTAGCAGGCTATTTTTTTAATGTCTCATTAAAAACATATATATATATATATATATATATATATAGAGAGAGAGAGAGAGAGAGAGAGAGAGAGAGAGAGAGAGAGAGAATCACTTGCCAGGTGCAGTGGCACACACTTGTAATCCCAGCATCTCAGGAAGCCAAGGCTAGAGGATGGCAAGGTCAAGGCCAGCCTCAGCAACTTAATGAGACCCTAAATTACTTAGTGAGAGCCTGCCAGAAAAGAAAAATAAATAACCAAAAATGGCTAGATATGTAGCTCTATGGTAAGGTGCCCCTGGGCTCAATTCCTGGTACCAAATAAACAAGAATTTAATAAAAAATCACTCTTATTCTGAGTGGAGGAGAGGTTGTTGTGGGGCAAGAATAGAATCTGCTGAATCAGTTAGGAAGCCATCACGTTTTGCTGTGAGAGAAGTTGATGGCATCTGCCCTTATTCCAAAAGCTTTATTATGGCTGTGTTTTTCTTCATAACAGTGGCCCAGGCCCTTTGTCAACCTAGGCCAACAACCCTCAGAAGCTCTCAGGTGGGACAGATGAAGGAGAGGAGCAAATTCACTTCATTGCTCACAATGAGCTTCCCTGGGTGGATGTTGTCGGGCAGGGCCAGGCTGGAGGTCATTTCCCAAGCGTCCACAAAGGCCACACGGAGACCAGCAAAGGCAGATCGCAGGAGCCGGTTCATGTGCAGGGTGAACCAGTCACTGCCATACACAGACTTATAGCCAGTGTTGGCCAGTTTGATGACCACAAGGGTTCTGGGTTCCCGCTCCAGCAGGGCCATCACAGCTGCCCGAATCCCTGCCAGTCGTCTTGCAAAGATGGATGGAGGGAAGGTGGTGAAGTGGGCTCCCAGGCCCAGCACCACCACGGTATGGGGGCCCCCGGCCAGGCCCCCCAGCTCTCTGACCACGGAGTGCAGGGAGGCCACTGGTGTGCGTTTGGAGCGCAGTGGCCAGCTGTGGGCTCGCCAGTGCAGCACTATGCCCCGAGTGGTCTCCACGGCCATTAGGGGCCCCACCTGATACATGGAATGTAGATCCACTGGTTTCAGGGCTGTTGGGAGGATGAAAGAGTAGAGATCAGAGGTTAATATAGGGCTTCCTTACTTAAAAAAATACAAAGGATTTTGTGCTGGGGATCTAGTTCAGTTGGTAGAGTGCTTGCCTTGCATGCACAAGCCCCTGGGTTCAATCCCCAGCACCACACACACACACAAAAGATCTAACATCTCTTAGCACCTAGGTATTCTAGGACTGGCTGGTTTTATTTTCTGTGGTTTATGATATTGCCAGTTTCCCACATCTGAAAGCTTATTCTCAGTCCTCAGCCTCTCCAACTTCCTATATCATCCTGTTACATTGATTTTCCTGCAGAAGCTCTCTCCTTTCTCAGTGGTATTTTGTCATGCTTTGCAGTCTCCTGACTGAGCTCTCCAACTTGGATTTGCCTGTTGGGTTCCTTCATTTACCACTGGATGAAGATTTGCTCAAGGTAGAGACTCCGGGTTGTCCAGTGTGTGTCCTTGAACCATGGTGGCAAGCCTAGGAGGCCAGTGGCTGAGATCCTATCTGTCTACTCATATGCTAGATGACAACTGCACCAAGAGACCCTTTCTTTGCATAAAGTCCCTGCATGTTTGTCCTGCCATGTGCTCCAGGGCTGTGTAGGTCCCAAGAGGTGCTTTTTTCTGACTCACAGAAAGGCACCATGTCAGCCAGCCAAGGCTCTGGTTTTGCCAACCTGTCTCCTGAGCTTCCACTCATTTTCATAAATATTTTTCTCTTGGGGAACTAATTATATCTACTCTGCCAAGAGTAAATTGTCCCACAGTGACCCTACAAGGTCACCTGACATTGACCCAATTTTTAATTAGCTGGGACTAGGGATCCCCTTCCTCCCAGAGGAAGAAGCTACACCCAGGATAACCCTCCTGGGAGACTAGAGGCTTCAATCTCTTGAGAAGGAAGCAGACAACATCCCACAGGCCTCAAGGTTTCTAGATGAGGTAGCTGGTATTTTTAGACCATTCCTGTAAACAGACAGAAACTCACCTCTAGACTCTTTTATACAGAGAAGCCCCCCATAAAGCTGTGTCACAGCAGAGTACAGTGGTACACACTTGTAATCCCAACAGCTCAGGAGGCTGAGATAGGAGGATTGTGAGTTCAAAGCCAGCCTCAGCATCTTAATGAGGCCCTAGGCAACTTCGCGAGACCCTGTTTTTAAATAAAATATTAAGAAAGGGCTGGGGATTGACTCAGTGGTTAAGCGTCCCTGGGTTCAATCCCCAGTACAAAAAAAAAAAAAAAAAAAAAAAAGAATGTCTTCATTCACACTTGTAGGTAAAATGGGAGAATGATGGGGGTAGAGGAAGAATGTTTTCCCTCCATGAAAATGGGCCCCATGTACCTCTCTTTGTGTGATGATGGGAGGACAGGTGGGGAGAGGGTTAGGTGCCTGTGTTCTTTTTTTTTTTTTGTACCAGGAATTGAACCCAGGGGTGCTTAACCACTGAGCCAGAACCCCTCTTTTTTACTTTTAAGTTTTCTTTTTTTTTAAATAACTTTATATTTATTTATTTATTTTTTTTTTTAATGTGGTGCTGAGGATTGAACCCAATGCCTCACATGTGCTAGGCAAGCGCTCTACCACTGAGCCACAACCCCAGCCCCTCTCCAGGTCTTTTTATGTTCTATTTTGAGACAGGGTTTCACCAAGTTGCTCAGGGCCTCACTAATTTGATCAGGACCTTGTTAAGTAGGTGAGACTGGTTTTGAACTCATGATCCTCCTGCCTTAGCCTCCCTAGCCACTGGGATTACAGGTGAGCACCACCACACCCAGCCCTGGTTCTTTCTTTTCTTGCTCATCTTTACTCTCATGTTACCCCTCTTACTAATAAGGCCTAGTCCTTAACTCATTATATTGTGGAATTTGCTCTAAATTCTGGTGTTTAAAGGAAAGAAACTTAGATGGGACTCACCTTCCTGTACATTCCCCGTCTTTTAACTTTTACTCCCAAAGGAATAAATATCAAAACTCTATCTACAGGTATAAAATCTCATTTCAATTCCAATCCGACATCTTCAAACACCTTATCTATATGTTCCTACCTCTCACACCCATATGAAGGGGCATGAAATAGGTACACCACCTTGTGCCACTCCTATGCCCTTGCTCCCCATCCAGGCACCCCAGTGAATTCTGTTCTGAATCCATCCAGTACTTATCCAGAGTCATCAGTCATGTGTTCATTCTAGAACCCCTCAGTCAACAGGCATGGACAGTTTCTTCTGCATTCTTCCTTACTACTGACATTCTATTTCTTTAACAATTTAATCTCTCCTCACATTTGTTGCCTCTGCTATTGTCTATTTGTTTAGTGTTGTTCTTTTTTTTTTTTTTTTAATGTGGTGCTAGGGATCAAACCCAGTGCCTCAGGCATGCTAGGCAAGCCCTCTACTATTGTCTTATAAACTAGGCTTTTTTTTTTTCTTTGCCCAACCCTTTCTGTCCAACAAACTGAAAACTCCTCTTAAAAACATCTGATATCTCCCAAACTCCTCACGATTAAACCCCCAATATTGATGTCTCCAGGTATTTTTCCCCCTTTAAATTCCAACTCTATCCCTCCAGTATCCCCCAGCAGATCCTTAGTTCTAGCCATGGTCATCTATACATCTTAATTATGAGCACCCTAATCATCTACTTCATGGTTGAAACTATACATAATTTGAACACCCTCTTTTCCATCTCTTCCTCTGCCCTAAACCCACGTGTCCTGTTCTTTCACATCACTCTCCTGAAATCTAGGCCTTTGGGCCCCGTTGACATGATGGATATCTGCCTCTGGCAGCCCTGGACCTCCTCTTGTTCTCTCAGGTGTCTCTCACCACTCCCCTACTCACAGGGCACTGTGTCACGCAGATATTCCCACCACTGCCGAAGCGTGGAGTCCCCCATCATGTGGATGATATGGCCAGCCAGACAGCCCAGGATGCTGCTGACATTGGGGAAGGGTCGGTTGGAGCAGGCCAGGGAGTGCCACACATCTTGGTGGTAGAAGCCAGAGGGCTTTGGAGTAGAGATCCCAGGGTAGCATGGTAGTGCAGGGGACAGAACTGTAATTAGGACAGTCAATCAGTGGATATAGAAGAAGCTAATGCCACAGGCATGGAATGAGAGCTGTCCTATCTGCAAGCCCCAAAGCCACTTACCCAGACTCCTGCTGGTATTCCTGGCCACATGGACTGGACCAATACCCTGAGGGAGGACCTTGTCTGTCAGATTCCTGAAGAGAAACCAATTATGAAGACAAAATTCCTTAATAGAAGCATGTGAGAGGAAGGAATCCTGAGCTAAGCTAAAATAGGGGTTTGCAAAGGGAAGGAAGTTCTAAGGGCTCCTGTTCCCGTGTCCAGAATCCTGGAAGACAGTGAGTGTTTGGGAGGAGTTGGAAACTAGTGTTCGAGGACCCAGATTCTTCGAATTTCCCTGCCTGAGGGATTTTGTCAGTGCAGAAAATAGAATTGTTTTAAAATGTACCCAGGATTTGGATTTCATCTAGGTATGGTAAAGCCAACAGATCAGGATATATTTCCCATTGAAAAGAGTTTGTAACTCACAGTTCCCAGTGAGAAGGGAGCATGGCATGCCACACAGGGCCACAAGGTAAAATGCCAAGGATAGTCAGGAGGCAAAAGGAGCAGAAAAAACATGGGTAATAGCCTTTACTGCAATCTTCTCTGGAAAGAATGGACAAGACAAGATAAGGATTTAAAATAGGCTAGTTTGAATAATTTCAGTGGACTCTGGGCTATAAGAGGTGGTCTTTATTTGTCAGATACCTGGCCATGGGGCGATTGAAGGCAGGAAGATGGTGTCCAGGGCTGCGGGAGCCTGATAAACCATGGGGTGGACTCAGGATTGTTGGTTTGCTTATCAAAGGAATGCTCAAAGGCAGGTCATTTTCTATCTCTAGGAGTTAGCTAACCCTGGGAAAGGCAGTCCCTCCCAGGTCTGCAAGGTCACAAAATATCAAAGCATCAGGAAAAAAAAAAAAACACATTTTATACCAGAAGATGCTCGAAGCCTTTCTTTTCTTTCTCTGAGGATTGAATGTAGGGGTGCTTTTACCACTGAATTACATTTGCAGCAATCTTCATTTTATCTTTTTAAATTTTGAGATAGGATGTTGCTAAATTGCTCAGGATGGCCTTGAACTTGAGATCATCCTGCTTCAATCTTCCAAATCACTGAGATGACAGTCAGGTGCTGCCATATTAAGCACTTGAACCCTTGTATAAGACATCGTAATGCTCCTCTTGGTCTCATTACGCCCACCCCAGTTGGATTCTTCTCCCACCTTTCTACCTCATTAAGCCATACCACCAACCCTCTTAAATTTTTTTATTTTGAGCCAGGCACAGTAATGCACATCTGTAATCCTAGTGACTCAGGAGGCTGAAATAGGAGGATCACAAGTTTGAATCCAGCTCAGGCAATTTAGCAAGACCCTGTCTCGAAATAAAAATTAAAAAGGATGAGGAGGTAGCTTAATGGTAGCATAACCCTAGGTTCAATCCCTAGTACCATCAAAAATGAAAAGAAAAAAAAATAACAGGGTCTTGCTAAGTTGCTGCCCAGGCTGGGCTTAAACTTGCAATTCTCCTGCCTCAGCTTCATGAGTAGCTGGGATTACAGATATGTATCACTGTGCTCCTCTTGTGAGTTCCTTTTTATGATATATTCCACATTCTGTCTCTCAGGAAATCAGGTGGTCTCTGCCTTCAGGATAGATCCAGAAATAAACTACTTTAAACACCCCAACTACTACAACTTGAGTTCAAAATACAGCTCATTTCCTGCCCGATTACTGAGAAATATCCTCCCTTAGTCTCCCTGCCACATTCACTCCTAATCTTTCCTCCTCTATATTTTAACTTCTTATATTTCCTGTCTCCTTTTATATACTTTGCTTATTCTTATGTTTATTGTTTATCATGCCTTCCTCTTTTCATAGGGAAGTATAAAAGAGCAGGGTCTTGGTCTGGGGTGTAGCTCAGTGGCAGAGTGCTTGCATAGCATGCACAAGACTCAGGGATCTGATGCCCAGTACCCAAAAAAAAGAAAGAAGGAAAGGTTGGGGTGGCAGGGTTTTTGTTCACTACTCTATTTCCATTGCCTAAGCAGGGCTATGCATTTCATATGCAATTGCTGCATGAAGGAATGGACAATTGCCATGATTGGGTCCTAGGAAAGGGAGAGGATTTGCTTTCTGGGGAAGGGGCAGGAATATAGACCTGCAATTTCAAAAGTTGCACAAGGATGGCCTTCCGTGTGAATTCAAGACCCCAGTGCCCCCATAGAGCTCCAGGGGAAGATACAATTTGATCCCAGGGACTCTGAACCCAGCCGGGAGGTACCTGTTTACCTAGAGCCACCCAAGGCCACACAGACTTGGAGAGTATTACTTTGGGGTGACTCGTGTTGAAAGAGGACTCAGGAAGGATTCCTGATAGTCAAGGTGGGTTGCTCTGCAGGGCCATAGGCAAGGGGAACCCTTCCTATCTGCCTAGCTGTAGAGATCTTCAGAATTGACTAAAGTTGAGGTAAAGAAAACACCTGAACTTGAAATTGCAAATTCATGCCTCCTACCCATTCGATTATCTATATAATGCCTGTTTTCTGTCAGCGTACTGTTAAGTTGCTACAGAAAGTCCTCCGTTCTCGTCTAGCCTCAAAACCTCCAGCACCTTGGACAGCGTCTGGCACTGTGTAGGGAAGGATTCAATAGCAACAGAAGCTAAGGCATCCTTCCTGTGGTGTCCCAGTTCTAGGCACTTTACATGCACTAACTTGTTTTTTTCCTGATCACAACTCTGCCATGTTGTTACTACTATTATATCTTTTCAAAAACAAGGAAAGAAATTGAAATGAGGAGAGGTTAAGTAACCTTTTAGTAATAGAAGATGACATAAATAGTAATTGGCACACGATAGTCAGTGGAGCCGGTATTCAAACCCAAGCAATCTTGCTCCAGAAATGCTGGGCTTTACCTCCACATGACATGCTATGGTGTCTCTGGCATTGAATCATAGATTTATTTCCTATCAACTAATGCAAAAAGGACACGTGGGTCTCCTTTTCTAAGTAGGGCATAAAACTGGTCAGGAAAGACCAGGATTCCCTGTGCTAACTTCTCAGGCTGGGGACTGAATGCTACTGTGAATTCCACAAAGAGCTGCTGAGAGTCTCTAGATGCGCATCTGGGGGCGAGGAGTGTCTCCAGCTCAGCTCTCCTGGGTGCTTTGGTCATTTGGCTCTTTCCAATACTCATAGCTGCCAGAGGTAACTTTTATATTGTTAAAAGTATAAAACTTTTATGCTCATCTAGACCTCTCATCTAGGCAATGCTCTCAGAGGCAGATGGACCTCTCTCTTTGCTCTGTCTGCACCCAGACATCTTCTGGGGACCTTTTTTGCCTCCTTGTCATTTGCTTTCAGTAGCCCTCTCTTCTGGAGACCTCTCTTCTGGAGAGCCCTGCTCTCCCATCTTAGAAAATGCTTCCCTCATCCCAGGGATCTCAGTTCTGAAGGACGGGGGGGGGGGGGGGGCCCACTATGAGCCAGTATGTTCTCTGTCAGTGTGTGTGTGTGTGCAGCTGCCCTGACACTGTGGATACTTCTCAGCCTTCATCTTGCTTGGCTTCCAGGCTACAGTGTTGTTCCCTTTTTAGTTGGCAGGGTCACCCCTCAACCCCCTACTCCCTGGCCACCTATGTGCAGCTGCTTTTGAAATCAACACCTCTTCTTGCAGAAGAACAGAAAGGACTGGGACTCTTGCCTTTTTCTCCATGTCCATGGGTCTCCTTCAAGTTACAGCTAAATTGTCACCTGTCCTGGCCTATGTGGAGTGCCCTTTCTGTGTCCTCAAACCACTCAGGTCACATGACAGTGAAGCTTTCATCACACTTCCTGTTATAAAAAGTCACGTGCCTCAGGCTGGGGTTGTGGCTCAGCGGTAGAGCACACACCTTGCACATGCAAGGCCCGGGGTTCGATCCTCAGCACCACATAAAAAATAAATAAATAAAACAAAGGTATTGTGTCCAACTACAAATTAAAAAAATATTTTAAAAAGTCACGTGCCTCACTGAAAATGTGGAGAGAGCAGGGATGCTGACTATGATCTACCATGTGTCAGTACTTAGCATGAGTCCTGGTGTATAGTATAGTAAGTGCTCAGGAAATGGGTTTCATAGATGTGAAGAGATGAATGATAAGACTAAGAGCCAAGGCAGAATAATTACAGGGACCAAGATTAAGGGGTTGGGCAGGGACCCTTAATGATATGGGGTTCCTTCCTTCCCTTCTTCTTTCCTATACCTGGGAAATGAATATTCAAGAATCTGAGAGGAAAGATCTAACAACCTAATTAACTTGTCCTTTTTCATACCTAAAAACTTCTGTCACTCAAATAATTGCCACACAATAAAGTGATGTCTGTACATCTGTGGTGTCATATCTCACCAAACATCAGACTTCCCGATTTTAGGGCACAGAGAAAGAAAGGAGGAGAAGTTCAGTGGACCTGAGCAGCACTGTTCATGAGTGCCAGGGTTTGGAATGAGAGTCTGGGCTGGGTCCTGAGCAATGATCCTATGGAATAGAGGTGACCCTGTGCTTTATAAAGGCCTGCTTTTGTGTCTTTGTGACATGTGTGGCCCTCTAATTTGTAAAATTTAAACCTGCTGGGGTTTAAAGGAAAAGCCAAGGAACAACAGTACAGATTCTAGGTTTTCTTACCAAGCCAGCAGGGCCTCTTCATGAGATGTGGTCACATTCCAGTAATGTCCAACTGAATGTCCCACCAGCATGCTGCAGGCCAGGGTAGGGGGCTGGTCACAATACCAGAATTCACCTGAATCTTCATCCTTGTAGTAACAGAAGGATTTTTCCTCCCTGATCAACAAGGGATTCACATTGCAAGATACACTTTCTTCATCTCCCCTGGGTCCCCGGAAATAGCCTATGAAATCAACTGTGGCCCAGTGTTCTGTCCAGATTCTGCGCAGAACCCCAACGGCCTCACTGGAGTGGATCAGCCGCACTTGCACCTGGGCCCTCCCAGCCCAGAGCAGAGGGAAGGACAATAGGTATGTGCCATTCTCCAGATCCTGGACATCCCCGGGGACCCCTGCTCTCAATTCTGGACCCAGCAATCGTGCCTGAAACAGATCCCCACCATGGGTCTTGGGCCTGCCCCGGTGGTCCCTGGCTACAAGGACAACCTCCAGGTAGCTTCCCAGGGCATAGGTGTCCTGAGCAGGACCCCTCAGGTGGTAGGTGGAAGTCTTGTGGCTGGTGGAGGCCAAAAGGTCCCCCCCATCTCCTGGGGTCAGAGGCCAGTATAGAAGGTGGATCAAGTTGGGGAGCTCCAGGGAGAGAGAAGTGGGATCTTTGTCTGCAGAAGGGGACTTTGGAGGCCAAGGGTCACTGTTGCCAGACCAGAAAATCCTGAAGTACAGGACCTGTGGGTAGAGAAAGAGGCACTCATCAGTGGTGGGTTTTCCTTATTTTCCTCCTGGGAGGGAGATTTCAATTCACCTGTCTCCAGTGTGTGATAGGTATCAGGCAGGGCAACTGTCTGCCTTACACTGCTTCTGAGCCAAAGTTTAGAATCTAACACAACTGCCACCACACAAAACCATAGACACTAGCTCCTGTTAAAAACCATGTGTCAGTGGGTTTTGGTAAATCCCACAGAGAATAAACAACTCCTTCTGGTCCTCATTAGTTTTTGCCCATCTGCACACACTCCCGCAGACCCCACTTTCCAGCTCTCCCTTTCCCTTATAAGTCATTCTCTCTGTATTCCAAAAGCAGAAGGAACCCCTCCTTCCCATCCTGTAGCCTCCCTTTGGGGGAGGGAATGCATGCAGAATGTACAAAGATGAAAAGAATGAGCAGGAAATTCTTTCCTAGAAAACTGTAAAAGAAAACCATGGTTCCTAGAGCCTAAGGGAAGGAGGGATGAAAGTTATTGTAGTTTTGTAGGATGGAAAGAATTATGGGGATAGAAGGTGCTAATGGTCACACAACAGTTTGGATGTATTTAATACCACTGAAATGTACACTTAAATGATTAAGATGATACATTTTCTATCACTTATAAAATTATAAATAAATAAGGAGAAAAACAGAAAAAGATTTTGAGTTTCACCAGAACTAATAGTTACAACATTGATGTTAACTTATCTAAACATTGACGAGATTCTTCTTCTTCTTCTTCTTCTTATTATTATTATTATTGTTGTTGTTATTATTATTATCATTATTATTTTGGTACTGGGAATGGAACCTAGGGGAGCTTTGCCACTGAGCTACATACCCAGCCCTTTCTTCAAGCATACTCTTTTGGGCTGGTTTTGGGCTCCCTTATCTTCTATCCCTACCTGACACAGTTTTCTCATTCTCTTTCTAAGACACCTTCTAAGTGTCCTGTCATGACACTTCTGCTTCTGGATTAAAAGTGGGAAAATAGAGAGTTTCTCTCAGCTTCCTTCTCCCAGATGAAAATAACCAGCTCAAGTTCTGTATAGAGGTAAGTGGAACAAGGAATACTCACCCAAAACACAATGGCTAGCACCACAACCAAAATCTTGTGCCACCTGAAATGTCTGAGGTACGGGCCTGTGGAAACCTGGAGTTCTTTATTAGACATCTGGAATGTGATCAAGACCCTAGATGGAGAATTTTTAAAATTCAAGAACCAATAAGAAATTATCTACAGAAAAGTTATATACCAATAATGGCTGTTTCTGGAAAGTCTGGTTACATAACTAAATAATTCAAAGCTATACTCAGCAGCAAGAACCACGTTTTGATGGGCTGAAGAACATCCGGCTCCTACTGCATCTCTTAGACAGCCTGAAAATTGATCCTGCAAGTTTTCTGAGCCCTTAAGAATTGCTGTGTTTCAAATTATGGCCTTTAGCATCACCAGCCTTCCCCAAGCAGGCGGGTTCTCTTTCAACAAGAAGTAGAGTTGGCTCAAAGTATAACACTTCTGTTCTTCCACCCAACATCAGGCAGCAAGGACTGCCTGATGTTCTGTCCAGATTCTGTGTAGAACCCCAACGGCCTCACTGGAGTGGATCAGCCGCACTTGCACCTAGGCCTTCCCAGCCCAGAGTAGGGAGAAGGACAATAGGTATGTGCCTACAGACACTAAAACATCACAGGAAGATATTATAAGTCACCTTATTTCAATTAATTTGGAAACTTAGATAAAATGAACAAATCCTCAAAAAACGTCTTATCAAAATTAACACGAGGGCTGGGGTTGTACCTTAGGGGTGGAGCGTTTGACTAGCATGTGTGAGGCAGTGGGTTAGATTCACAGTACCACATATAAGTAAATAAAATAAAGGTCCCTTGACAACTAAAAAATATTTTTAAAATGAACACAAGAAGAAAGATAAATCCAAATAATACTGTATTGTTTTCAACTAAACAGAATCATAATTTAAAACATTCTGCCAAAGACAATACTAGGCACAGATTGCTTCCCTAGCAAACCTTCCCAAACACTTAACAGTTTACATGGAGTACTGAAATTCTTCTCCAGCAAACAAAAAGAAGGGACATTCACAACTCATTTGAAAACCTCGTCTTGATTCCAAATCCTACTAAATATATTACAATAAAGGAAGATTATAGACCGACCTCTCTCACACAGATGCAAAATTACTAAATTAATCAGTGAATAATTTTGAGTGGTATAATAAAATCATGGTGTTGGAAGTCCATGAGAGGAGACTTTTGGTTTCAGCTCTGACAATGAAAAGCTTGAAAATCATCGTGCCCATCAACAAGACAAGGCTGGATAAATTGCAAATCAACAGGTCTTCCTAGATTCAGCAGAGAATTGGGGGCAAAGGGCCACTGCCATCCCCCAAAACTGAACAGACAGGCAACTATAGAGAATCACAGTGTAACAGAGGTCCCCCTCATGCTTCAAACATAACTCTGCTCTGCCACTATGGCTCATGGACAATTTCTCCTTTAAATTTCTCCTCTCCTTTTCCTCATCCCTAACAATTGTGGAAGCAATATTAATCTTCTTCCCATCTGAGGTCAAAATCTTCCAGCCCTCACACCACAGGAACAAAGGTAAGGAGTCCAGGCTTCAGGACTGGCACAAGAGGATCTGAGACATGACTGGCTCTCTAGGGTATGGGTGAATATATGACTCCTGACAAGGCACAACTGGAGTATAGCCTTTGAGCCATCTTTTGTTTTGGGGTACCTAGGATTGAACTCAGGAGCACTTGACCACTGAGCCACATCTCCAGCTCTATTTTGTATTTTATTTAGAGATAGGGTCTCAATGAGTTGCTTAGCACCTCGCTTTTGCTGAGGCTGGCTTTGAACTCACGATCCTCCTGCCTCAGCCTCCTGAGCTGCTGGGATTACAGGCCTGCACCACCGTGCCTGGTATTGAACTACCTCTTTCAAAGCCCTCTGTTCCCCCTGACAGAAACAAGCCTCTGGGACAGGAGTACCCTGTTTGTCCTTTGCTAACAGAGCAATAAGACTTCTTTTTCCTTTTTCTCAAAATCTTGTCCTCATTATTAGATTAGCATCAGGGACAAGGACTGAGCTTTTGATATCACATTTGGTGACTCATATAGGACCCAAGAACACCCCCACACACACCACTGCCACCACTCTGGTCTTTTGCACCCATGCTGAAGATTCAGGGTGTCTGGTGAGCTTGTTGAGAGCCAACCACTGGAGACTTAGGAGACATGGTGAGTTTGCCTTGAGTTGACTCAAGGAGCTCTTCCTGTAAGTAAGAGTGACTGAGGGACTGTCCCAGTAGCTGCTCAGGCTCCTTTTGATTTGTGGAACCCCCTCCTTCTCTTCTGGAACAGTTTGGGTTGCTCCACCAATTGGTCTACTTTGAGAAAAAGGGAACATAATGCAGTAAAGTTGCAACACCTTGGCCATCTGGTAAGCTTCCCCAGTGGGCCTGCAGAGACCCTTGATGCCCACATCTGGTCCCTCTTTGTGGGGACATCAGTGTCACCATTTGTGTAGGGGTCATGGTTAGGTAGGAGTAGGGAAACAGGCCTTTTTTCCCTATCTGCTGTCTATTTTAAAGGCTTCTGTCTGTCAGCCAGGGTTTTGGGGCTCCCCTCTGCTCATCCCTTTCTGTGTTTTTGTTTGCATCTCTTTTTTAAAATATTTTTTTAGTTGTAGTTGGACACAATACCTTTATTTTTATTTGTTTTTATTTTTATGGGGTGCTGAGGATCAAACCCAGTGCCTCGCACGTGCTAAGCGAGTGCTCTACCTCTGAGTCACAACCTCAGTCCCTTGTTTGCATCTCTTACTGGCCCTTTAAGATGAGGGAAATGCTGTGTTGATCCTACTGATTGAGAGTCTCTTGAAAAAGGTCTTAGCTAAAAGAGCCACACACAGGTATGAACCTGTCTAAGTAAAAGATGATGTTTGTGACAAAATCTGGTCATTGAGTGGTATTCTGAATCCATATCCAATCTTGCCATTGGAGCTGGTCTGTCCAAGGTTAGGTAAATGGGAGAAGCGCTATATGTGCAGGGTGCTGTGCAGCTGTATGAGAAAGAGTCTGAACAGTCAGAAACTAAGCTGATGGTCCAAAAAAGGCCCTGCCTCTGATTTGCAAGGAGAGCAGGACACCAGAAGTTTAGAAAGACGTAAACCCTTTCAGCCCCATGCAGGCAGGCCTGGCCCTGCCCCTCAGCCCGGCTCCAGGCAGCTGCAGCTCACTCCACTGTGGGTAATGCACCCCACCCAGGAAACCCCAGGAAAGCGTCCTGGGGTGTAGAGAAATAGGCAAAGAGGACTTGGCCTCCGTCCTGCCTCCCAGCCCCTTTGGTCATGGGACAAGGGGATTGGCTGGCCAAAAAGGACATGGCAGTGGGTGTTGAGACTGCTAGACCATGATCTGGGGACAGGAATGGGTCTCCCCTTTTAAGATCTGACAGGACACCTCATTTGGCCAGGGACACCCATCACTGGGGCAGATGTTGGGAGATGGGCCATGATCAGTGGACTATTTGTCAAAACAGCTTGACTATGAAGCAAAAGGATGTCCCCAGCCCACCCCACCTTTGGGCAGTAACTGTCACTTGTGATTTACCACAAGAGGTTGAGAAATTCCCTTGAGGACAACCCATTAATGTGTTTGTTCTCACCAAGTCTTGGTCCTACTTGAATAGGGAAGTGGCTACTGGCTGACTGCTGGGAGGAGGGGAGATACCAGGCAACCCCAAGGTCAACCTTAAAATGGTGTCCACCTCAAATCCAGCAGCAGTTTCCATTAGATGATAATGAGACCCTACAACCTAAATGCCTGAAATCTTAGACAGTGTCTACTCTATCGGGTTAGACTTGTCTGATGAGCCCATCACAGAGCTGAACTGGAACCTCTTCATAGATGGGAGTAGCTTCATGGGAAATGGAGCTGCAGATAGCTGGATGTGCTGTGGTCACAGAACAGCAGATATTAGGAGCTGAGGCTTTGCCACCTGGAACATCAGCAAAGAAAGCTGAGCTAATTATCCTGACAAGCACTCTCAGAATGTCCAAAGGAAAGAAGTGACCCAGCAAGTGAGCTGGTGGATTGGATGGGCAACAGAAGGTATGCACAGCCTGGGATCCCAATCTAGAGGGAAAACAGAAAAGATAAATCACACCTTAAAAAACACAGTGATTGCCGGGCGTGGTGGCATGCCTATTATCCCAGAAGCTCAGGAGGCTAGGACAGGAGGATTGTGAGTTCAAAGCCAGCCTCAGCAAGGATGAGGCATTAAGCAACTCAGTAAGACCCTGTCTCTAAATAAAACACAAAATAGAACTGGGAATGGACTTAGTGGTTGAATGCCCCAGAGTTCAATCTCTGGTACTCAAAAAAAAAAAAGACAGTGGTTAAACTATGCCAAGAAACTCACCTGCAATGGGTTAGGGTGTTGCCAACTGCTCACTTCAATAAGGGCATTCCCAGAAGCATGCTTAAATTGAGCCCAGGAAGAAACTATATAGTAGAGATCCTTTCTGGTAACCTGGGGAAGGAGAGGGACAAAATGTGGCTATAGCAAAAGAAACTAGATTAATGTAGTATTCGGGTCAATCAGTCAAATATTAATTGTTTTATGTGAGTGTGATTCTTCCAGGTCCCCACCAAGGTTGGAATCACATCTCTATCCCTTCCAGTAAAAATCCTACAGAAACTGTGCATTAATGTGTTTGTTCTCACCAAGTAGGTGAGTAGGACACAATTCATTGAGACCCTGTCTCTAATAAAATATCTTAAAAGGTCTGGGATGAGGCTCAGTAGTTAAGCACCCCTGGATTCAATCCTCAGTACCAAAAAAAAAAAAAAGTCCAAAAGAAAAAATGACAATAGGAGGTATAAATGTTCCATTCCAGGGCTCCCTTCATTGCCCAGTTTCAGCAGGAAGCAACTTGGAGATGACATTGTCCCTTTTTCCATTGTAATGGAAGATAGAAATTGACAGTGAAGAAATAGAACAGGGGACCATTTCATGCTTTGAAGATAACCCTCACTGCTCAGCCACTAAATCTTATTTTAAAACTGGTTTCATTTGGTTGGTTGGTTCACTCCCTTTCTCTTCTCCTTCTCCCCCTTCCCAATCATGGTAGAAGCAATATTGACCTTCTTCCTGCCCTAGGCCAAGTTATTGATCCTTCAGCCCACACACCACAGGAATGAAGGAGTCTAGGCTTCAGGACTGGCACTAGAGGATCTGAGACATGGCTGTCTCTCAAAGTTACAAGTGAATTAGGACTCCTGACAGGGTCCAGCTGGAGTGTAGCCTTTGAATCGCCTCTTTAAAAGCCCTCTGTTCCCCTTACAGAAGCACAGGCTCTGGGACAGGAGTACCCAGAGTTTCTCCTTTGCTAGTAGAGCAATAGAACTTCTTTATCCTTTTTTCTCAAAACCTTGTCCTCGTTATTAGATTGGCTTTGGGACAAGAACAGAACTTCCCCCCCACACACAATATCTTTAATTAATTAATTAATTAATTAATTAATTAATTTTTTTTTTGTGGTGCTGAGGATCAGACCAGTGCTTCACTCATACTAGTCAAGTGCTCCAACACTAAGCCACCACCCCAGCCCAAGAACAGAACTTTTAATATCAACAGCTTACCTGGTACAGAAGTTGCTAGAGCCAGAGCCAGCCAAACACTGAGTTACTGGGTCAGGGAAGAGGGAGGTTCCATCCTGCTCCACGGAGGTGCAATCACATTGGCCAGAAAATAGGTTTTATTTAAAGCCAGATTTGAAGGAAGAAGACTTTTTGTTGGTTGGTTGGTTTCAAATTTCCATCTTCAGAAAACTCAAGGTCCAGGAATCTTTTATAAGAGAAGAGGCAGCACAGTGGGATGAAAGGCAGGGAATATATACACACAGACTTAGCGTGATACCTGAAGAACATGTCAGTGACATCTGGCAACGGGGAGAGGGTAGTTTTCATTCTTATCATGCGGAAGTCCAGAAGTTAAAAAAAAAAAGGGGAACTTTCGTTATCAGTAGAAGGAACTTGCCCCTTATTTCACAGGATTCCTTTAATTTCAGATGGAATCTGTGTCAAATGGCAATTGTCAAATTACTGAAGGGTGAGCAAGGGCTGGTTCAAACTCCAGGGCCTAGTCTCCAGGGAGCTCCTAAACTTTTTAGAGTTTTACTTTCAGAAATGCTACCAAGTTCTTATACCAGAGAGAAAACCCTTCTGCTTTGGGCAGGAAGCGAGAAAAAATAATCATTTAAGAAAAGAGCATTTGGGCTGGGCTGGTGGCTCAATGGTAGAACAGACACCTGGCACATGTGAGGCCCTTTTGGTTCTATTCTCAGCACCACATATACATAAATAAAATAAAAATCAATTGACCAAAAAAAAATAGCATTCTTTGCTCAATAAAAAATTCCTGTCTGTAAAAGTCTACTTTAGCAGAGCTTTATCTAACTGGAGGAAGGATGATTAGACATTTTGAGGCCTCTGTAATCTTTGGGTGACATGTAGGAAAAAAGCTGATAAATACTCTAAAAGTGTTAAGCCCAGGGACTCAAGCCCACTTAAAAAAATCATCACATTTCAGACTTTTTTCCCACTCCCACACTTCAACACCACATTCACAGGACAACAGTATACTAACAACAGATTTGGCTGTAAGAGAACTGGTTTTCTATGTAACAGAAATCAATAATTGGACTTTAAAACTCAAAACAGTAGTATTTATATTAGCACCAATAAAGGGAGGAATATTTAGGTTGAGTCTTTGTTTGTTTGGTACTGGGGAGAGAGCCCAGGGATACTCTAACCACTGAGCTACAGCCCCAGCCCTTTTCATTTTTTATTTTAAGACTGGGTCTTGCTAAGTTGCTGAGGCTGACCTCAAACTTGGGATCTTCCCGTCTCAATCTCTGAGTCTCTGTGATTACAGGTATAAGCCACCATGCATGGCCTTAGGTATAAATCTAACAAAATAGGCACAGAGTTCATATGAAGCAAGTGCCAAATCTCTGATGAAAAAAATCAAAGACTGTTGGAATAACTTTCAGTCGCAGCTCAGAAGTGCTTGAAGTATCCACATTCCTTCAGGCCTGACAGGAAGGCCTGCAGGGTGGGGTGAAACCACATACTCAGAACTTGTGGTTAGCATTGCCAAACTACCAGGCCAGGAAACCGAGAGTCAGAGGCTTAAGGGCATGAAACCCTAAAGACCCTTCCAGATTGCTTTCCACCACGACAGGAATATTTAGTTTCCTTATAGTGCGGTTACATTAGGCAGAAGATGATTGGCTTATGGATATTGTCTTCCTTATGTATGATTGACAGGCACGCCCCACTCGAACCCTATAACAGTGTGTGCATTCCAAAAATAAACTGAGCTACTGGACAACGCCCTGAGGTGGGTCTCCAGTCAGGTCTCTCACCAGCTCCCGGAGTCTGTGTGTTGATTCCGTGTCTCTACCCCCCTTGACAAGGTAGCCGAGTGACCATCGACCACGAAGGGACTTAGGAACATATACAAAAGACCTAAATAAATGGAGATTATTCCGTGTTCATATTCAATGTTCACTCAACATTGTTAAGATATCAGTTGTTTCCAACTTGATCTATAGATTTGGTGGAATCCCAGTGAAATCCAGGCAAGTTATTTTGTGGATGTCAACAAACTGATTCTTCTTCATCCTCAGCCCTTTTTATTTTTTTATTTTGAGACAGGGTCTTGCTAAGTCCTTAGGGCCTTGCTAAGTTGCTAAGGCTGGCTTTGAATTTGTGATCTTCCCACCTCAGCCTCCCAAACCGCTGGGATTACAGATGTGTGCCACTGTACCCAGTTCAACAAACTGATTCTAACATTTTATAAAAAGGCAAAAGGCTCAGAAAAGTCATTTCAATATTGTAAATAAAAAGCAAAGTCAAAGAACCAACACCACTGCTTGACTTCGAGGCTTACTGTGAGCTACAACAATAAAGACAGTGTGGTTTCAGTGAGAGAATAGACAATAAACCAATTAAACAAAACAGAGAATGGTGCCGCAGAAAAGACAGCTAGGAAAAGACAGAAATAGAATCAACTAATTTTGACAAAGAAATAAAGGCAATTTAATGGAGAAGAGACAATCATTTCAATAGTGCTGAAACAACTGAACAGCTAGACAAATACTCTACACCTTTCTCAATAATTAACTCAAAAGTAGATCATCGACCTTGATTTAAAATGCAAAGCTATAACACTTCTAGAAGACAGCGTAACAGAAAAGCTCTATGATGTTAGACTGGTTTATATATAGCTGGCAAATAAGACTATTAAAAGTTGCTCAATATCAGATGTCATTAGAGAATTGCAAGTGATAGTAATAGGAAGATAACCTTACACACCTGAGGGAGGGGTTAAATTTTATTTTATTTTTTTAATTTTCTGGTACTGGGGATTGAACCCAGGTTTGCTTAAACATGGAGCCACATCCCAAGCCCTTTTTATTTTTTATTTTGAGACAGGGCCCTGCTAAGTTGCTGAGGCTGGCCTCAAATTAGTGATCTTCCTGCCTCAGCCTCCCAAGTAGCTGGGATTACATGCATGTGCCAATGTGCCCAGAATGGAGTGGTTAAATTTTTAAAAAAAATTTAAAAAAAAAAGGAAGGAGAAGATCTGACAATACTAAATGCTGAGTTTGTGGAGCAACAAAAATTCTCATCATTGTTGACTGAAGAAGTTATCAAAAGCCTCCCAACACAGAAAAGCTTAGGATCATATGACTTCACCGGTGAATTCTACCACACACTTAAAAAGAATTAATGCCTATCCTTCCAAACTCTTCAAGAAAATTGAAGAGGGAATTCTAATGGAGCCAGCATTACCTGGATATAAAAACTAGGAAAAGATATCACACAAAAACTATAGGCCGATATCCTGATGAATACAGAAGTAAAAGCCCTCATCAAAACACTAGCAAACTGCATTCAGGAACTTTAAAGATTCAAACACCATGACCAAGCAGGATATTCCTGAGATGCAAAGATGGGTCAACCTACGCTAATGAACTAGTGTGACATACCACATTAACAGAATGAAGAATCAAAACCACATGGTCATCTCAGTAGATGCAGAGAAGACTGCTGACAAATTCAATACCCTTTCAGGATTTAAAAAGCTCCACCTGCCAGGTGTTGTGGATACCCGCCTGTAATCCCAGTGACTCGGAGCCTGAGGCAGGAGGATTGCAAGAAAGATCCTCAGCAACTTAGCAAGACCCTCAGCAGTTTAGCAAGACTCTGCCTCAAAATAAAACATAAGAAGGGCTGTGGCTCAGTGATTACACCCCCTTGGGTTCAATTCCTGGTACCAAACCAAACAAAAACACAACTCAACCAACCAGGAATAGATATAACTTCAACATACTAAAAGCCATATACGGAAAACCCACAGTAGAAACCTGAAACCTGGATGGAGATGTGGCTCCATAGTAGAGTTTGCTTAGCGCCACGAGGCCCTGGTTTCAATTTCTCCCACAGAAAGGGAGGAGGTGGGAAGCAACTGAAGGTTATTTCTGTAAGATCAGAAACCAGGATGCTCATTCTCACCACATCTATTCAACACAATCCTGGAAGTGCTAGTTAATCAAGAAAAACACTAAATAAAAGACATCCTGACAGGCTGTGTGGTGCAAGCCTGTAATCCCAGCGGCTTGGGAGGCTAAGACAGGAGGATTATGAGTTCAAAGCCAGCCTCAGCAACGGTGAGGAGCTAAGCAATTTACTGAGACCCTGTCTCTAAATAAAATACAAAATAGGGCTGGGGATGTGGCTCAGTGGTCGAGTGCCCCTGAGTTCAATCCCCGGTACCAAAAAAGACATCCAGATTGGAAAAGAAAAAGTAAAATTGTCTTTTTTTTCAGATGGCATGATCTTCCATTAGAAAATCCCCAAAGACTACACCAAAACTCCCTTAGCATTAAGAAATAAATTCAGTAAAGTTGATGGACACAAAGTCAACATACAAAAATCAGTACTCCAATTTCTACAAATGTTATTAGTAAAACTGGATATCCATATAAAAGAATGAAAATAGATCCTCATTTTTACATCACACACACGCACACCCCTAAAAATATGTTAAAGACTTAAATACAAGAACTGAAAGTGTTGAACACCTAACTTCATGTCATTGGTCTAGGCAATGTTTTCTTGGATACGAAACCAAAAACAGAAGCAACAAAATTTAAAAAAGCAGAACCACATTCAACTTAAAATCTTCCTCACAGCAAAGGAAACTATCAACAGAACAAAAAGACAACCTGTGAGTTGGAAGAAAATATTTGCAAACCATACATCAAATGAGATCCAAAATCCACAAGGGACTCCTAACAGTTCAATAGACAGAACACACACACACACACACACACACACACACACACGATCCAATTAAAAAATGGGCAAAAGATATAAACAGATATTTCTCCAAAGAAGACACATAAATGATTAACAGGTATATGAAAATATGTCCAACATCAGTAATTGTCACAAAACCATAATGAGCTATTGTTTCAACATCTGTTGTGATGACCAGAAAAAAAGTGTTGGAGCAGATATGGAAAAATGGAATCTTTACTACACTATTGGTATGAATGTAAAATGGTACAAACACTGCAGAAGGA